ACACATAACGTGTTAGCCGTAGCTTTTGGTGCCTTTCATACATGTGGAAACCTAAGAAAAACGAACGTTGTTTTTAATCATTGAGTGTTTATTTTAGAAGTGAAACATTTTTGGGGAAGACGTAAAGGCGACAAACAGCGCACACACAAGCTGACCTGGATCGCTTTATCTGTTGTTAAATGTAGTATGTGGCTTGATTTTTATTGGCTAAGTTGCCACATGATGATTTTTGAATCCCTGACCGTCTTTTGAAAAACAATTCTGACATCTTTGAATCACTGACCGTCTTAAAATTACAATCATTCAAGGTGTCAAACTGTAATGATTGATTCATGAAAGTTGTTGTCCCAGAAGAAGAAATATGACAAAACAAAATTACTCATCTTTTTGTCTTGCATCTACAACTATTCCTCTTCTTTCTTTTTAAGGATTCTGCAACAAAGGGATCATCGGTTCCTCACACGGATAATCATGAAGTGGAAAATCATTAAGAGAGCCTCCCTTGAAGTATTCAGCCAAACACATATCACAGAAATAGCAAGGATTCTCTTTTGCCCACTTGTCATCCACTGCAAATCTAGAAGCTATGTTAAGCAATTGTTTACTTTCGTGAAACAATTGAAAGTGAACAGAGTTACCTCTTTTGAATACCTTAAGGATTTCAGTAAGTTCCTTGCCTTCTAATTCTAACTTGGATTTTATGTGCTTAGACTGTGCAAACACTAAAACGAAGATATATACGTAGCTGTCTGTTCTCTTTTATGTTGAACCTAAATATTACACTTTCTATGGATCTTGTGGATGAGATACTTTTGAAGTTGCCTCTAAAAGGTCTAGCTAGACAAGTTAATATCTCTTTCAAAACAATGGCCAGAGTATTCATGAAAATGCAATCTACTAATGACATTTACTAAAGACAATGTGATGTTCTTAATGTCTCATACATAGCCAGAATTACACAATATTCAATCAACTATTACGATGTTTGATGTGGCTCTTGTAATTTCAAGACCAATTCAGGGATTGATATAACGCAGAAATCTAGATCAATCCATGAACATTCTACTTTGATAAGTTCATGCGGCAAAGCTGCCATAATATGCAAATTAAAATGGGTATTAAAAGATCATGATGGCTTATAAAAATTGATTTTTTTCTACTTTGATATGCAACCCCTAATGAAATGCACATATTTTCAAAAATGTTAAGAGTTGTCTCTCAAAAGTTTTGGGCTTATACCAAGAATAGTGGGAAAATTGGCTTGTATACCTAAATCTTATTGAAAATTTGAAATCTATACCAAATTTGTTACACTTTGAAAAGTACTCTATTTTAAGGGTTGAAATGACGGTTCTATCCTTACTTAACAAGATTAAGGTAGAAAACAAAAATGATTTGATTTTCTTAATTTTTATTTAAAATTGATTTATAATATGTAAAACTAATATATCATCTATCTAATAATCTAATAAAAATTTTGTCATATATAATAGTATGTCAAGTCGATGAACATAAAAATTAAGTCAATGGTTTAAANAAGCCGACAAAGTAAAAAGTCAATCAACCAATATATAAATCGATAGTTTAAAATAAATCGATCAAAAAAAATATTTAAGTCGACGAATTACAAAAGTNAGTCAGTGGTTTAAATAAGTCGATAATTTAAAATGTCAATCAAACGAAATATAAGTCAACAGTTAAAAATAAGTCGACGAAATTGAAAATTAAGTCGACAAAAACTGAAAATTAAGTCAATGGTTAAATAAGTCGACAAAGTAAAAAATCAAGCAAACGATAATATATGTCAACAGTTTAAAATAAGTCGATGAACCTTAATAATAAATCGACAAAACTAAAAAAATAAGTCAATGGTTAAACAAGTCGACAAAGTAAAAAATCAATCAATCAAAATATAAGTCAACAGCTTAAAATAAGTCGACGAAACTGAATATTAAGTCGACAAACATAAAAAAAAGCAACTGTATAAATAAATCAACAAAGTAAAAAATCAACAACCAAAATATAAGTCGACTGTGTAAAATAAGTCAATTTTTATTTTTTATTTTAATAAAGAATTTAACTTTTAGATATTTATTTACTACCAAAATATTTTTAA